CGAACCGCTCGACCAATCAGATTGCTGGAAACTCTTTGTTCAGCTCTGAAATTATACTAATTTCATTTAGAATTCCCTCAGCACTTTGGCCAGAAATCCCGACGGTATCCTTTCGGGATTCCCTACGGAAAGTTACCGAGATTTCCCTCGATATCTGACCACAATCTCCGTCGGGATCCCACCGAAACTCCTGTTGGGATCTCACTGCGTTTCCGCTGGGGTCTTGTCACGATTTTCGACGATATCCCAAAAGAGTCGTAAAGGACTCCTACCAGATAAAGCCGAGATTTCTACTAGGAAAAGGGTTTTTTCCCCGGAGGTGGGAAGATATAGGTCAGTTTTTACTGGGTATGTGCCGCGAGCCTCTCCAAATACCTAACCCATCAAATTATAGTATACCAATTATAGAACAATAAAAACTTTTTAACCGCAAGTCTTCACATTTTTAAGTCCCTACTTACAAGAGTTTTCTTTGCCAACCCATTCTTGTTACTCTTATGAAAATGCAACTCCAATATAGTCAGTCTAGTCGCGAAAATGCGACCCCATTTAATGACACACCTCCATTATTTATTTATTTATTTATTTATTTATAACAACTTCATTACCCCCCAACCCACCGGTACTTTCAAAAGAAAAGAACTGTGAGACACTGCAAGGACATTGAGCTCCTGCTTTTTCTCCCTAGATCACCACAACTAGTGTTTAAGGTATCAATAAAACAGTTTAAAAACAACACACTCCAGTTTATCTTTCACGTAGGTTTAATTAGAAACAATACCGACTATGTATGCTAGATTTTCACAAAATTCATTCCACCTCTAAAACGTGCTATAATTGAAATATTGACAACTCTAACGACAGGTAATCATAAATTGAATTCCAACCCTATTTAAGCCAAACAATATTGACAGGGAGGGAGGTGAGATATAATTAGACGTCTAATCGAATTTCCGAACTAATATTCCAAAAAAAAAAAATGGATTCTTCGGGGAGAATTTACAGTTTAATCTCATCTTGATGCTGGTTGCGTGACGTCACTGTTGGATCGTAAATTACTACTCCTACAATTGAAATTGGGTCTCACCCCATAAAATGCGTCGACCAATTGGCAGCTTCAACACCCCCTGACAACCCCCCCCCGGGCATTTGAACTTTTGAGGATTGGTTTGTTCAAATTTTCGCCCCCTGGGGCAAAAACTTTTATGGGTAAGGCAAAATCAGCGACCGTGACTTTCTACGCATGAACCAATCTTTTAAACCTATACCTTGCAGACTTTTTCTTCAGAGTCATTCGCTTGCGAAACTGAAATATTTACCTTAAACACCTCCATAATTTAGGATATAACACTTGTATTCCGTTGGAAAGACTAAACACTTACGGTTCTAATTCCCTACGCCAGCCAGGCAAGGATCATATTCCCTACCATCGGGGCATGGACGATCGTCAAATATCCGTTAGTTGCCCGGGGAGGAGGGGACGATGTTGAAGCTTCGGTGCTTTACTGACAATTCAACTCGAGGAACCGGATTTTAATTAAAGGAATTCGCATGAGCCCGAAAAAATTGATAAAAATTTCAAAACAAAGCAATCAAAGCCACAGAGGAAAAATTAGATTCTGAGAAAATGTGATGTTCTTTCGTTTAATCGAGACAAGATACTTAGTAACGACCCGCCAAAATTCTTGTTACTGCATTGTTTTGATTTATAAATAGAGGTAGAAATTTTTTTCAGCTTCTGAACGAGTAATAGGTTACAATGCAAGGGACATGTTATTTCTAACCAGAGTCTGACTGCGAACATTTTTTTTAAAACCGCGAAAACGACTTTCCAGTCAAAGGTCGTACACACAAGCACACACACACAAACACACAGACACACGCGCAAAGAAAAATCTGGGTCTGTTTCCAATTGAGTATTGAAAAAAAACAAATCTTAAGTTATTCCAGCAACCAATCAGAACAAAGGTTTATGATAATTATCATTAACCAATGAGAAGTCAAAGCAAAAATAAGCAAACTGCTCGAAGCGCGAGAAAACGCGTTTCTTTTTAGTTCTGCATCTGATTGGTTGAGAGGATGGCGCGAGTTTTCTGAACCAATCACAGAGTTAAGTTTAGTAAAGCCAAAGCAATCCGGGATTTCTTTGGACACACATAGGCCATTTCCGAATTAGCTTTGGCCTCTTTTTCAAAACGAGGCCTGGTCCTCAACCGTTCTTGAGTAAATGAGTTTAACTTGCATGTGAATGAAAAATTTTTATCATACGAAAGGTTGGGCTATTAAAAATTGCTCTTTAAGGAATACCCAAGCTTCAAAAGAATTCCTAACTTCGTTTCCCCGTGAAAATCTTCGTGGTGAGGTTTGTTAAGATAATTTACAATCTAATATCTTCCTTTTGCCACATTATTCTTTATCCAGTTTGCATACTTTCCTCTTCTTTCTTTGACTGAAAGTTAAGGATTTCTTTGTAGACCAGTTCTGAAAAGAAAATAAGGCTCATTTTTAGAAAGTAAGAGGACAAATGTGTTCTTCAATATTCGTCATTCCATCCTTAACCCTTAAATTCCCAGAGTAATAAACATGTAACTTTTCTCTACAGTATTCGTACATTGTCCAGCAAACAGGTAATGAGAATACTCAAACTTATCAGGTAGAAGTTGTTATCTTGATCTAACACCAAATTCTGGTAACTACTTTATAAAGAAATGTGTAGCAGCTAGAGGAGAGAATTAACTGGCAAATTGTTTTTTCTACGTCAACCATTTTCATCTTCAACCATCCTTGTTCCCACTAAGTTTCTTATTTCCATTTTGATGTGTTTGCTGTGTTTCTGACTGATATTTGATATTTGATGTGTTTGCTGTGTTTCTGACTGATATTTTATGGTTTCTCTTGCAATTTGGGTAACTCTGCACGTTTCACAGAATGACTTAAAATATCAAACTCGGTGGCAGAGTGTTTAATACCTCTCCATTTATCTGTTGGCCAATCCTTGGCTTCGAACTGTACTTCATCAAATGGCTCACATGTTGGCTGTTGAGGAAAAGATAGATATGTTCCCCAGCTACATCACAGTTCGTGGTTATGGGCTTAAAGACACCCTTCTCCCACATGCAGCACTTAACTACTGCAGGGGTCAGTTACATTAGACTACTGCCATACTGTGTGCTTTTCACTCAGTCAAGCTTATGATTAGTAGTCATAGGGGGCAATATGGGACATAGCCAATCAGATCACAGGATTAAGCAGAATGTGTCACACAATGATGAAATCTGACTGGCTGTGTTTCACATTGCCTATTTTACTACTATTAGTAAGAGACCAAGGCTGTGCTCTAACAGCACCCGGTGGCCCCTGGCGCCTTACTATTGCTCTTGGGCGACTTAGAAATTTTAGTTTTTTTCATACAAAGCATATGCTGGGCACCCTGGATTTCACAGTTTCAGAGCACTGGGCTCCATTCAATTTTCCTTAGAGCGCAGCCTTGGAGACCCATTCTTCATTGTGTAAAAGATAACCACTTGTTTCATACCCATGGTCATTTCGTATCCACGGTTGTTTCGTACCCAGTTTGAGTAGGTATGTACCTGAGCTACAGGTCGATTTGTACACGTCCAAATATACATTTATTGAAAAGACCACATGCATAAGCACACGAACAGATGCCGATTGTTTGTTACGTACGACAACTTTGTAGAGTCAAGCAAGTAAGATACAAGCAAAATTCTAATGTATATACTTGACCTTTTGACCAAAACAACTTAATTATTGCCAAGGGTAAGGTAAGTCTGGGTGTGAAACAACCATTGGTATAAAATGACTGGTGACTGTGTTAAACATGTCGCCTTTTACACCTGGTTGAAAATCAAATAGCTGTCTTTGAGACCACTCCAGCTTACTGTTTGCTTTATTTTTAACATGTGCGGAATAATCCTGACACCTGATTGGTTGTGTCCTATAGCAATATTATTACCAAGAGACCATCACTTCACTGGGTAGAACATATCTTTGTTTATATCTGGTTGCAAGTGAGGCAGTGCATTAACCATGCCACAAAAATGAGTATCATTGCATAGGAGAAATAAAGGAAGTGCTTACAAAGCATCCTAAAATTCAAAAGTATTTTCAAACCCAGCCAATAAAAATTACAAACACTTACCACCAGATTATTTTGAGTATTGCTGGAAAATATTGGACCAAATAAAATATCTATATTAGGTTCAGTTCATTTAAGTTATGTGTAACCTCCAACCAAGTTTGATTATTCAAAGTAAACTCTCCCAAGGAGCACAGAAAATCTATGACATTTTTTAAAAATTTTTGGATCCACCTAAGGGTTACCTCATCATCTGCGTCTGCATAAGTAGCTAGGTAAGGATGAGCGAGGGCTTCTTCTGCAGTGATTCTTGTATCTGTATCAAGGTTTAGCATCCTTTCCAACAGATTTACAGCTGAAATAGGGCACAAATATAATGTTTCAATGCCTGTAGTTACGGTACATCATTTTGTGTACTTTCAGGCAAGTGAATGCAAAAGAGAGGCATCTTTTTGCCTCTTCCTATTGTATATGACTTGTCCTCCACCCTCACCCAACAATTATCTGTTTTGCAGGCTAGATAAAAGTATGATAACATGGTTTTCTGATGATTCAGGCAGTGACACTGACATGCCCAGAAAGGAAGATCTGTGTCACCTAAAAGGTGTTCCAAACACCCAGTTGAAACAGTTGTTCCACAGCCAGTTGGTCAAATAACAGAGGAACTCCCCCTTAGGAAGCCTATTTCCCCCCTATCAATAATACCAACACTCCTCACATCCCTAAGTAAGCCTATTCCCCCCATCATTCATACTAACACCCCTTGCACCCCTCATGAAGTCTATTCCCCCCCTTATCATTAATACCAACACCCCTCACACCCCTCAGGAAGCCTATTCCCTCCCCCCTTCATCATTAACACCAACACCCCTTAGAAGCCTATTCCCCCCTATCATTAATATCAAAACCCTTCATACCCTCAGGAAGCCTATCCCCCCCTCACTATACCAACATCCCTCACACCCTTCAGGAAGTCTATTCCCCCCTATCATTAACCCATTAATGGCCGCAGCTTTTGTGGAAAACTGTGTTTTGAAGCTAGTCCAGCAGATTTCGGGTCACTGTTGGGGTTTTAAAAGCTCTAACTTACCAAAAACCACTTGACAGCTCGTGCACTCAACAGCCTTTCGATCCAAATGCAAAATGGCGGCCTGAAAATCTCGGGCACGCGCAGAGAGCAAAATTT